TTCAGAACTCATCTGTGCATACAGGTTTATGCAGGTTATAACAAGAGAAACCATTCTGCAATTTTCAGCCTCGACTCAATGGTATGTTCAAACACGTCGTGTGGAATTTTAAGTACAGCTCACGTGACTAAAGTTAAGAACAGGGCTAAATCCCTTCCAAACCCAGGCCATGAACAACAAAACAGAGGCTATCCTATTGGGTGGTTGATCACAGATTTTGCTTCTGCCTATTTACTGTATTAAGAATTCAACATTAAAGCAAACACACTTTATTAAAAGCTTACTTGAAGCCCAAACTAAATCACGTTCAAATAAAATACCAGAAAATCTCAATGTTAATGTATTTAATACATTTCTGTGATCTTGCTACTGTTTACAGTTCCAGTTAAAATAAACCATGGGTTTGAATTTCTTCATTTGAGTGCAGAGCACCTTAGTGCAAGGGGATGGGGCCTGGGATGTGTGTCTGTCTGAAGTATGCTACAATATGTGTGCTTTTAAATGAAACAACCATCTCAGTGGCATTACATAAATAAAAAGGGGAAAATACAGAACACAGTATTAACTGGGCAAGTTCACTTTCAATAACCAGAAGCAGCAATATTCAAACTGTAAACTACAGAGGAGATTGATTCTGAAATAAAGTTCTTGGGTTTCTCTTGGCAATCTCTTGGCTATTCATTACGCTCTCCTGACCTTTCACAAAAGTATTTTCTTAAACTCACTTTCACAGTTATGGATGGAGTTTACTATCACATTACAGCACTGTGCCAACAAGAATGTTAGCATCTGCAAAAAAACCTAAACGATGTTCTACAATTAATGAAGAAATTCAAGAAGTCTTTTACTACAGTTGCTTAAAAGGTGAACTTATGTTTTTCTGTTATCATTAATATTTTGCTCTAAGTAGGAGGCGCATGAGCAAACGGAGGGGTGGAAACTGAAGAGTTTCGTAAAGGTGTTGGGTTTTTTGAAATGATTTGTATTCCATGCAAATTAACTTCAGTCAGAGTTGAATCAGATTAATAGTTTGCATACCATTAGCCAGAGAGGACATTTAAAAAGCATACCTGTTAAATATGTTCTCACTTGCAGCGTACTTGTCCAATCTTCCCAAAGGCGTCAACATTTCATCTTGTGAGACAAAGTCCAGGGCTGAAGGTATAATAATCACATCAGACTCTGAGCTGTAGTCATCCACACCAACTATCAGAGACATCAGAAATATTCCTTATAATCACAGTAGTTTGACACTAAAATGATGTCTGTTGTTGGTCTGAAATATAGAAGTCTAGGCAAGGTCCCATTGACAATATATTTAGTAACTGCATCACATTGTTCCCACCAGCTTCCCCTGCCCCCATAAAGTCCTTTCTATACAAGTGTGACTGATGATGTATAAATGGATTTTGAGTCATTTTCTCTAAGTTCCCAAGTAAGATTCATCACTAAACTTCCTGAGTATTTTTATACCTTATGTTTTTCTCAAGCAAATTACTTTTATCTAATTGTAAAGTCAGCTGTTTGAAGACATGTACTCAAATCATAGCTGCAGGTAGCCCAGAGTTTATACAACATGACCTAACAGACCAAAAAGACTGTGCTCTAAAACAGAAAAATCTAAATTAAGCATGCAAAAAAAACCTCAAAAAAACCCCCAGTGCATTGCTAGATGTGACTACAAAATAAAATTGGCACAATTCACCTACTGTATAATTATTAACCAGCAAATCATCAGAGAACTTCACATACTGATTGCTTTATCAACATAGAACCAAAGAAGTGGAAAGAAGTTCCAATCAGTTCTGCAGAGCTGCTTAAGAATTAGGATTTGAATTAGCACCTTTTTAGTTTTCATATGCCCTCAAAAGTGCTCTAAAACTCAGTCCCACAGCAAACACACAATTCTGGCTGAAAAAGTCACTTCCATTAGTCCTGAAAACACAACATTACAGTAGACTACCCCTTTTCTTCAGTCTAGCCAAATCTCTCTGAAATGCCTTTTCAAAACTTGCAAATAGAGAAGATTAGAAGACAGGTCTACAAGTCCAACAATTTTTTGTTAAAATGAACTCTACAAAAGGAAGAAAAAAAAATTACTGTCCTCTTTGCATACAACTATGCTGTGCTATACAAATTGCTTACCAGATAGTGTGCCACTATTTTCAACATTCAGAATACATAAACAGCAGATGCATTAACATCTTCCTACTGTACTTCAAATGTCAAAAGACAAACACCGAGCTCTGAGAGAGTTATATTTTTAGATATAAACTAAGTTAATGGCACCCTTTTACCAACAAAGTAAAAATTTCCCCGTTTTCTACACAGAGAATCTACGGACATCAATTGATCCCATCCTTGCACAAGGGACCAGATTTTGCAGTTGCTGATAGGACATGAAATTCTTGCCAGAAATCAAATGAAAAAGTGATGGGGAAAGAGCAAGTGTGTAAGAACAATCTAAGAAATGGGAGAATGGAAGAAAGTGTACTAGGAGCCAAAGTAAATGGAAGAGCAATCTGAGAAGAGGAATTATTGGTGTTAGATATGTCTAAGGTAGAGGATAGAATAACAAAGTGCAGGGGGAGGAAGGGAAGGCNTTTGAACATGATTAGCTCTTTAATAAATTTCTACTTTAGAATTTAAATTACTTCTGCACAAGGAGTAGACTGAAACAAAACCAGAGAAAAATAAAAGGAAAAAAGATACTTTTTTTCTTTGCCCATTTTTTTCAGAACTTGTAAATCAAAATTTCACAGAATATGCTGAGTTGGAAGGGATCCAAAAGGATCATTGAGTCCAACTCTCAGCCCTGCACAAGACATCCCAAAGAGTCACAGCACGTGCCTGAGAGCACCAACAACTTTTTGTGTTTAAATTAATATTGGCAGTAGTAACTGAGCTCGGCAGTGTTTTCCCCAAACAAGCTCAGAGAATACTCAGAATAAACTCCCAATTTCAAAATCAACATCTTTGTACCCTTAAGAAGAAAGGCTAAACATGCACAGGTACATTCAAGCATTGTTGAAGTAATTACCACTTTTCTTAGTGCTTTAGAAAAGTTCTGTCCTTTGTTAGTTCAACTTAAATCACTTTAACATACATTTAAAAGGCAAAATTTCTCAAGCTGTATTGTTATATTTAAGTAATTTATTTGGTATGCACAGATCTTCAAATTTATGTGCAAAAAAAAAAACTGTTTTGAGGTTTGTTTCATTTTTTACTACATTTTAATTTTTGACATACAGTAGGATCAGAAACACTGAGATGAAAACAGAGTAAAGTTAGAGATGGGGAGAAATAACCTAATTTGTACTAAAATGATGAGAAATGTCCCTCTCAGAACAAAGCCAGTATAGTTTCACCTCTATGTCTTCAGTGTAAGTTTGGCATTTCCTTACTGTCAGTACTCAAACACCCAAGAAGAAGCTACATTGGGCCAGGCTCCAGACAGAAGGGAAGAGAAAAACAACTGCAGCTGGGGACAATCAATGCACTTTAATCTGATCATACCTAAATGAAAATAAGGCAAGGTAGTCTCGACATCCCACAAAACTGTCATAGAGAGGTTTTTCATATAAATTACAGCAGGGATCCTGTAATTACAGCATTCCTCTGTGTTAGTGGGGGTGCTTCATGCATGCAAGTCCCACTTTTGAAGTACACAGTTAAATGAAGTTCCTGTGAAAGTGTTACTTATAACCTGTGACTACATACATGTGCTCAATCCCTCTTTGAGATCCAGTACACCCTCACTTACTGCTGTTCTATGAGTATTTAAAATTTGACTGTTGCCAAAAAAACGTTTTTCAAAGGGCATCAGGTATTCTCCTAAGGGAAAAGCAAAGATGTACTTCTACACACAAAGAAGTCTGGCAAGAGGATAGCTTCAAATTATCCACATCGATAGCAGACACAGTCTTGATAGCCAAGACTGACCATACTCATGAACGAGAGTCTCCTGCCAAGATGTGCTTTGGTCTGAAGAGAAAAAGCAGCAATAATTCCTCACAGGATTATGAAAATGAAGGATCTGTGTTCAGGAACTGCCTCACTATTCAAATAGATTTATTGGTGAGTGTTCTACACTTCTGAGCCTTCTTAATGAGGAATGGAAGCAAGTTCATGGCAATAAAGATTAGAAAAATCCACAAGGGATTTTAACATGAAAAAAGAAAAGATACAAAAGCTATGCTCCAAACTGCACCAGCAACTAGCAACTGGTTTTCAAAGCAAGCAGCCAAAGGGAATTATCATCCCTGTACATATGTACACACCAGTGCTACCAGATACAAGAAGACCCTGTGCTCTAGGGCGATGGCTCTGGCTTTCTGCTCAACGTCAATTCTTCCTGTAATGTGATGGATGTTGGATTATTAAGGCATATGCTAGAGATGCTTCTCAATTCTGGTGTGGAAGCTGCTTCTTCAATAGTTACACCACACTCCCACTTGCCTTATTTTACAGACACGACAGAGGTAATTTATTGTAATACTTGTCAGGTTCCTCTCCATTCCCATAGACTAAGGCAACATATGTGGTGCATATGAGCAGCACCTAAACCAGTAAAAATGTAAGCCAAGACAGACCAAAAGTTGTCAAAAAAGCAATTCCTTCCACCACTTGGGAAGCTGTTAAAGGATTCCCTACCTTTATCTCTCTCTCCCCTTTTCAGTTAATCCTATCAAAAAATGTACATATTTATACAAAGAAGATATTCCTACTTCCAAGCCCCATCTCCTGAAATTTTTTAGGACACAGACATTGACCCATTTCCATCTCAAAACAAGTGGCTGAGAAACCATGAGTGCTCAAGGAATCCATTTAAAGGAGACTAGACTTTTGCAGCAGTTGTTAAAAATCCCTTCGCTTTAATCATTCAATACAGAAATTCCTTTGCACAGATTACAAATATGCTGCATGAGTTGATGATTAACCAGATAGAAAACGATAATAGAAAACCAAATGCGAAGAGAAGTAATACCTAAAATGAAATTTAAAGATAAAAAACTGTCATATTAAAAGCAAATTCTTCCAATTAAAGGAAAAAATATCTTACCCTAATTTACCCAGATTTAATTATTATGTTTCAAGAGTCTGGAATGTGTAATATGAAGATTCCACAGAAATGCAGGTTCCAGGTCACAGAAACAACTGAAACATTATCAACTCAATCATAGTATTTGAAAACTTTAAAACTACTCATTAGTATGTGTATGTACTGATACCATACTAAGACATATGAATAAACAAATATAATTTAATTAATCTTTTTCCTATTAAATGCTCCAGTTCCTCTGTTTAGCAGAAATCCCTCCTATATTCTGAGAATGACTAATGCTGAATCATCATAAACTGACTGCAGCAGTCACTATCATTTATTGTGATCTAAGTGTTACTCACAGTTATACCACTAACAATTATCATTTGCTATTTCCTATATTTTATTATGCTACATAATAAAATAGGCCTACAAAGAGAGCTAGGATTAAGAAAACATGTTTGTACCAGCAAAAATAATCCAAACAAGCAAATACAGGGGGAAAAAAAAAATCAGGAAAAACTACAGTTATTCTGACCACCTTCCCCTGAAGGAAAGCATAGGATGCATAAAGCTGGACAGAGCAATTAAAAACACTCCAAGTTTATGCATGCCTCATATCCAATGCAATCCATACTGAGAAATCAGACACAGTTTTTTCTTAGGTGGGCAAGTAAAATATTAGGACCAGCATTCTTGATTAAAATTCAAGACACACAACTTGAGTTTCTCAGTTTGCTCTCCCCTCTACCGCCTTTTATTACATAATTGCAACCTGGAGCCCTCCCTGAAGGCTCCTCTTCCCTCCTTCCCCATGAAAAGTCAAAACATGCAAAAACTCTCTCCTGGTAGTATAAGTGCCAATTTCATCTTAAATTTTAAAATACAGCAAACTTCGGATTTCAAAAAAAGCCAAAATTTTAAAATGAGGCATATTTCAGAACTCATCTGTGCATACAGATTTATACAGGTTATAACAAGAGAAACCATTCTGCAATTTTCAGCCTCGACTCAATGGTATGTTCAAACACGTCGTGTGGAATTTTAAGTACAGCTCACGTGACTAAAGTTAAGAACAGGGCTAAATCCCTTCCAAACCCAGGCCATGAACAACAAAACAGAGGCTATCCTATTGGGTGGTTGATCACAGATTTTGCTTCTGCCTATTTACTGTATTAAGAATTCAACATTAAAGCAAACACACTTTATTAAAAGCTTACTTGAAGCCCAAACTAAATCACGTTCAAATAAAATACCAGAAAATCTCAATGTTAATGTATTTAATACATTTCTGTGATCTTGCTACTGTTTACAGTTCCAGTTAAAATAAACCATGGGTTTGAATTTCTTCATTTGAGTGCAGAGCACCTTAGTGCAAGGGGATGGGGCCTGGGATGTGTGTCTGTCTGAAGTATGCTACAATATGTGTGCTTTTAAATGAAACAACCATCTCAGTGGCATTACATAAATAAAAAGGGGAAAATACAGAACACAGTATTAACTGGGCAAGTTCACTTTCAATAACCAGAAGCAGCAATATTCAAACTGTAAACTACAGAGGCGATTGATTCTGAAATAAAGTTCTTGGGTTTCTCTTGGCAATCTCTTGGCTATTCATTACGCTCTCCTGACCTTTCACAAAAGTATTTTCTTAAACTCACTTTCACAGAGTTATGGATGGAGTTTACTATCACATTACAGCACTGTGCCAACAAGAATGTTAGCATCTGCAAAAAAACCTAAACGATGTTCTACAATTAATGAAGAAATTCAAGAAGTCTTTTACTACAGTTGCTTAAAAGGTGAACTTATGTTTTTCTGTTATCATTAATATTTTGCTCTAAGTAGGAGGCGCATGAGCAAACGGAGGGGTGGAAACTGAAGAGTTTCGTAAAGGTGTTGGGTTTTTTGAAATGATTTGTATTCCATGCAAATTAACTTCAGTCAGAGTTGAATCAGATTAATAGTTTGCATACCATTAGCCAGAGAGGACATTTAAAAAGCATACCTGTTAAATATGTTCTCACTTGCAGCGTACTTGTCCAATCTTCCCAAAGGCGTCAACATTTCATCTTGTGAGACAAAGTCCAGGGCTGAAGGTATAATAATCACATCAGACTCTGAGCTGTAGTCATCCACACCAACTATCAGAGACATCAGAAATATTCCTTATAATCACAGTAGTTTGACACTAAAATGATGTCTGTTGTTGGTCTGAAATATAGAAGTCTAGGCAAGGTCCCATTGACAATATATTTAGTAACTGCATCACATTGTTCCCACCAGCTTCCCCTGCCCCCATAAAGTCCTTTCTATACAAGTGTGACTGATGATGTATAAATGGATTTTGAGTCATTTTCTCTAAGTTCCCAAGTAAGATTCATCACTAAACTTCCTGAGTATTTTTATACCTTATGTTTTTCTCAAGCAAATTACTTTTATCTAATTGTAAAGTCAGCTGTTTGAAGACATGTACTCAAATCATAGCTGCAGGTAGCCCAGAGTTTATACAACATGACCTAACAGACCAAAAAGACTGTGCTCTAAAACAGAAAAATCTAAATTAAGCATGCAAAAAAAACCTCAAAAAAACCCCCAGTGCATTGCTAGATGTGACTACAAAATAAAATTGGCACAATTCACCTACTGTATAATTATTAACCAGCAAATCATCAGAGAACTTCACATACTGATTGCTTTATCAACATAGAACCAAAGAAGTGGAAAGAAGTTCCAATCAGTTCTGCAGAGCTGCTTAAGAATTAGGATTTGAATTAGCACCTTTTTAGTTTTCATATGCCCTCAAAAGTGCTCTAAAACTCAGTCCCACAGCAAACACACAATTCTGGCTGAAAAAGTCACTTCCATTAGTCCTGAAAACACAACATTACAGTAGACTACCCCTTTTCTTCAGTCTAGCCAAATCTCTCTGAAATGCCTTTTCAAAACTTGCAAATAGAGAAGATTAGAAGACAGGTCTACAAGTCCAACAATTTTTTGTTAAAATGAACTCTACAAAAGGAAGAAAAAAAAATTACTGTCCTCTTTGCGTACAACTATGCTGTGCTATACAAATTGCTTACCAGATAGTGTGCCACTATTTTCAACATTCAGAATACATAAACAGCAGATGCATTAACATCTTCCTACTGTACTTCAAATGTCAAAAGACAAACACCGAGCTCTGAGAGAGTTATATTTTTAGATATAAACTAAGTTAATGGCACCCTTTTACCAACAAAGTAAAAATTTCCCCGTTTTCTACACAGAGAATCTACGGACATCAATTGATCCCATCCTTGCACAAGGGACCAGATTTTGCAGTTGCTGATAGGACATGAAATTCTTGCCAGAAATCAAATGAAAAAGTGATGGGGAAAGAGCAAGTGTGTAAGAACAATCTAAGAAATGGGAGAATGGAAGAAAGTGTACTAGGAGCCAAAGTAAATGGAAGAGCAATCTGAGAAGAGGAATTATTGGTGTTAGATATGTCTAAGGTAGAGGATAGAATAACAAAGTGCAGGGGGAGGAAGGGAAGGCTGAAAAGAAAGATCAGCTGCAAAAAGCTATTGCAACACAAAGGGAAAGTGTTTAGCAACTCCAGGTTTACATAACTGTTTGAACTTGTGTTTGGTTCAGGCTTGCGGGTTTGTTTGGGTTTAATTTTTGTTGTTTAGCTTGGATTTTTTGCAAGAATCAGTTTTATTTTCACAGGAAGTGGGAGGCGAGTAAAAATGAACTCCTAATGTAAGCTAGGACTTCATGCCAAGTTAACAAGGAACAGGCTACATCCTTTCACAGGCTCATAGGCCTTTAATTCAACCCATCAGTCCAAATGAGACCAAGGATTTCTCTGTGTTTTTAGTTCTCCCATCTCACACCTAGATTATTTCAGTTAAAGGTATCTTCCAGTCTATCACTCAGTCCAACTGCCCAGCCACCTCAGGGCTGACCAAAAGTTAAAATCACCTCCCTCTCCACTTCCCATTCTCAGGAATCTACAGAAAGTGATGAAGTCACCCCTCAGCCTCCTTCTCTCCAAACTCAGTGAAATTAGTTCTGTGACAGGGTCCTATTTTTCTGTTTCAGTGTCTGTTGATCATATTGTAAATTTAAAAACATAAATTGAAGAAACTATGTTAAAATACCAATTTAAAAATAGCTATACTGCTGACAATAATTATTTAGCTATCAAACACATGAATACTAAAAAATAAAATGCTGACCATTACATGCACCACCAATTTTACTCACTCCATTTCTTTCTTCTCAACCTCAGCTTTGTTCTGTGCTCCTCCTTGTACCCTCTACATTTATTTTTCTACATTTTTTGCCTCACAAAACCAGTTAAGTCAACCCAACTGCTAAATGTACTCTCTATCAAATGTGAATGATAAAAATACGAGCATCTGCTTACAATTTATCTGATGTTTCCTACTAGTTCAAACAGTGAGTTGTGTGGATTTGGCTCTACTGAGTTTATGAATTGTAAAATTAGGCTTAGCACTACATTGAGCTTGATGTGCCCCTGCTACCAAACAACATTTATTATTTAAATAATTCCAGCATCTCAGCTCAGAGTTACAGAAGAGACTATTCAAATGACAGCATCTTGATTAACACAAGTATAATAGAGGGAAGAAAAAGGTAGTAAAAATAAATCAATCAACACATGAACAGTTTATAGTCCTAACAAAGTGCTGTTATGGTTACATACTGATTTTCATTCTCATGACACCTATCCAAGTCAAAAGAGACAGTCCATTCTAACAAAGAACTCCCATTCCAACAGAGCCCCTCAAAGTGGATGTTTGTCTTCAACTTGCCACAAACATGAATCACCAACATCTAACCACTCCTTATCTAAAATGCATAAAGTACACACTTCGCATTATTCAATAAACCAAGTCACTTTGCTACTCCCTTCACATTATACCAAACAGCTACCAAAAAGGCTGATAACTGAACATTGTATTGCCTCTTCAGCCCTACTCTGCTTTCCACCCAACTCTGAGCACTTGACTAAGTACCACAGAACCTTCTGTAAATTTTACAAATGCAAAATACACCCTTAAACAACACAACTGTACTGGTTTTGGCTGGGACAGAGTTAAAGTTCTTCATAGTAGCTTATATGGGGATACTTTGCATATTTCCAACCTATTCACTGGGAGGGCATCATGAGGAATAGAAAAGGCCGTGACAGTGTTTAGGCCCTGTATTCAACTGTAACACACCAGTGATTTATCAACACTAGTTTCAGCACAAATCCAAAACATCGTCACATGCAAGGTATTACGGAGAAATTTAACTCCATGCCAGTCAAAACCAGTACAAATTTTTGCTAATTCAAATGCAGAACAAATTTCTCCTCATTTCAGAATGTAGATCAGGCAACAGGACCACATATTACTTATCTTCTGCAGAAAAACTATGGGTCAATTTTCTTGTTTTTCTCCACTTTTTCAAAGAGGTACAAGTATGGGCCAAATCCACAGAAAGCATATAAGCTACAAGACACCACTGAAAACTAATGCAAGTGCAGAGCCTTAACTACCTTCTAATCTGGTCTTACGTGTTCACACCAGCATGCAAAAGTAGAGCTAGAGAAAACAGGAACACACTATCCCAGGAGTTTAAAGTCACTAGCGGTGTCAGGAGGTGAAATAGCAATTGCACAATGGTGTCAAAACACAAGGTAGCATCACATAACAATACAGGCACTACCTTTTGCTTCCATGTCTGACTGTCAATCTGTTGTATTACAGACACCAAGTAACTTCTCTGTGTACCTTTATTTTCCTGTCAAAACATTTCTTTGAGTGGTTTTTCGTAGTTCTTCAAGCTTGCTTAACTTGCATCTGGTCCATACTGTACTGTGTGAAAATATATATTAACATTCCCCGCTTTAAGCTCTCCTGTCTCCCTTAAGCTCTCTGTTTTATGGCAAGGATACAATAAAAACTTGACACAATTATTAACTAACATGAACTATACAGAAATTTTGCTGAGGCAGACTATATTTGGAGGTGTTTAGTCAACCACTGCCAAGCTTGGCTGAGCATACAACAACAAAACAGAGGTCCATTTAAAACTCAGTCCCCTACAAAACCACAGCCTCTAGGCTGATTTTCAAGGGAGTTGGTTTTTCTACTACATATCTCATCCTTGCACTATCTTTCACACAGGCCTCTCATACTGCATCTTCTACAGAGAGGTGCACAAAATCACATTTGAAAAAAATAACGACTATTTTTTCTTTTTTAATAGTGCAGGAACAATTCTCTGCCATAGACTGTTCAGTAACAAGGCCTATATATATTCTTTTTGTTCTTCTGTATTTGGTATGAGCTCCATGGTAGAAACATACTCTTCTTTGTTTTGGTATAGAAACTCAGTGACAAGAAGTGTATTTTTAAAAGATAAGCAATTTTCAATTCTGAAAGCTGAACAATAAATAGTTTTAAAGATTCAAGATTTCTAGCTAATATTAACAGTTCTCTCATTTTATATTCTGCACCCCCAAAGAGTTCTCTTTCAAAGATATACTGCAAAATCTATATGGCAGATATATCCACTAAAATGGACTAATTTCATTCAATTTTAGTATAAGCTACTTATTACACTCTACATCAACTGTTATCATATGGATATTCAGGATAATACAGCACTTATATGTAGAAAAAACGAGTTCTGTTCTGCTGTTTAGGCAAGTAATTTTTCTGCTTAACTGTAAAGCAAGAATTGTAATCTCATGAGCCCAGACATTTGATATCATGACCACAAAATAACAGCAGCAACTATTGTTCTAAATTACTGCCCTCCATGCTACAGAAGAATAAATTCACCTTAGATTCAGACTTCTGCAGAACACAAGTAGTATTCTCAGCCCTTCAATATTGTAAATACATTCATTTCTATGTAACTTTCTGTAAGAAACATCACTTTGAATTTGATGTGCTGGAAAGAGAAATTCACCTCAGCATGAGCACTAATGCTTAAACATCTGCATTTGTTCACAGCTGAACTCACTACTCTTAACCCTTTCCTACTGCACAATGTCCCAGCTCTGGTTCTGTGGGGACAACAAAGACCAAAGCATTTCATTTGCTACCACACATTTACTGCACTGCTTCAGTAACAT